ACTTATTACTGACCGTCAATATCATCACTTGCAAGTATTAACAGTTCTCCCTAATATTTAATATTTCATCTCTACGAGGAAATATCGAGTGTTGTGTATATTATACCTGCAGGAAAATAAAGTCATCGGGAAAGTTATTCATTTGTACCCCTGACCTTCACTTCCCATGTAAGATATTAAACCTGGACTTGAAATATTAGTGAAATTAAAGATAATGAACTGGAAACAAAATAACAGCGTTATTATTATTAAATATATTAAACCTAGACTTGAAATAACACTGAAATTAAAGATAATGAACTGGAAACAAAATAACAGGGTTATTGTTAAATGTATTAAACTTAGACACGACGTAACAGTGATTTGTACTTCCATACTCGTATGTATACGCCTGCTCAGTTACCCCTATGGGTTAAAGTTTAATACGGGTTTTAATGCTCAATACGTAAACTTTAACCCACGCATGGGTTAACCGTGAATGACCTCAATCTTGAGTTAACCCTTTTTGAGTTCAGCTGTAGGTTAATGTCGCCTGTCAACGTAGCGTGTTTTTTGTTTGATCAAAAATATTTGAACGGTTCTTTAATTGAAAAAATGTATTCATTTATCTTAAATCTCCGAAAGACCTGGAACAGTTCGGCAAGTTTGTAAATATTTCTACGGCGATCTTCAGGGATAAGTTCCCTAATTTTCTCAATATTTACCTAATTGGTAGGACGACCAGAGCGAGATTAGGCATCAACTGACATTTCACTTTTTTCGAAGCGGGAAAAATATTCAGAAACTTATGTTCTCCCCATAGCATCATCCTTGTAGGCTGTTTATCATTTCCGTGCTAGTTTTTCACAGAAGAAAGCAAAATTTGACGGCAGCTCGTTGGTTACAAAATTCAGCCATCAAAAATAAAAATGAGAAGTGTCGCCAAAAATTTTGCGAGAATGGCACACTGCCTTCTTGAGCAAAGATTCCTGGCATATACTGAGCAAGGAATGGCACAATGACTGAGTAATGGCACACTAAATAAGGAAGGCATATGGACATGTTGGGAGAACGCAACACTACCAAAACTTCTCAAGTAACTCCGGCAGTCCAGGTTTTTTTTTTTTGGGTCCCCCCTCGTATGTATTAAGTTCATTGTTCAAATTCTACAAATATATCGCCTCTAATATCAGGCTGCGCTATGACCAGGTGGACATATAGGTCACCTTTCAATTTTTTTAATGAATAAATAACGATAATTATTACATAGTCGCAACGTATCGGCAAAAATATTGGGCGCCATAGGGGTAACTATAACCCATCATTATAACCTGCTTCGCGGCCTTATGAATAATTAGAGAATGACTAGCCTATTGATTTATAATTCGAGTGAATACAATTGCTTTGAAACCTCTATGAAATACTTAATTATCATAATTAATGTTTGAACAGATTCAAATAAACGACAGCATAATGTGAACAGAAATTAGATCCCAAAGAGGACAAAAAATCTTTTAATTTCGCTAAAAATTGTAGTATTGAAAAAGAAGCTGTATATTTATGTGCACTACTTACATGATATATTAAATATTTAGGAGAATTGGTCGTTAATGGTGGCTCTCAGAGAAATTAGTGGGACTTTGTCTAAATAGCGATTCAATTTTGCATGTTGTGGGTCATCTTGACTCAGTTTGGTCCAGAAAAGGAAAAGGACGTATCAGTGGTACACGCAGAAAGTGTGGCAATACTTGGACAATATCACCAATTAACTATTTTGAGTGATTAGATTAATAACCCGACGACGCGTCAAGACGTCACCCGACGATGTGTCAA